TCATCAAATAAACACCAAATTGACATTTAATTTCATCTAATAAACATTCAATTCATCAAATTAATATTTAAATTCAACTAGTTAACATTAAATTCCTCAAATTAACATTAAATTTTATCCAATTAACACCCAATTTATCAACTTAATACAAAATCAACATTCAATTCGTCTAATTTATATTTAAATTCATCCAATTAAAACTCAATTCATCAAATTAACATTCATTTTATCAAATTAACTTCTAAAATTATTTTATGTTAATTTGATGAATTGTGTGTTAATTGGATGAAATTAAATGCTAATTTGATGAACTTAATGTTAACTAGTTAAATTTGAAAGTTAATTTGATGAATTGAATATTAATTTGGTGTTATTTGTTTGAACTGAATTTTAATTGGATGAAATTTCATGTTACTTTGGTGTTGATTTGATAAATTAAATTTTTATTGAATTATTTTTTATGTTAATTTATTTAATTGAGTGTTAATTTTATAAATTTGAATATAAAATGGATGAATTAAATACTAATTTGGTGTTAATTTGATGAAATGAGATGTTAACTAGTTGAATTTAATTGTTAATTTGATGAATTGAATGTTTATTAGATGAAATTGAATGTTGATTTAGTGTTAATTTGATGAATTGAATATTAATTAGATGAATTTCATGTTACTTTGATGTTGATTTGATAAATTAAATTTTTATTGGATAATTTTGAATCTTAAATTGATGAATTAAATGTTAATTAGATGAATTAAACATTAATTTGGTGTTATTTTGATGAATTGGGTGTTAATTAGATGAAATTGAAGGTTAATTTGCTGATTTCAATGTTAACTGGTTGAGTTTGAATGTTAATTTGATGAACTGAATGTTTATTAGATGAAATTAACTGTTAATTTGATGAATTGAATTTTAATTTAGTGTTAATTTGATGAATTGAATCTTAATTGGATAAAATTGCATGTTACTTTGGTATTAATTTAATAAATGGAATCTTTATTAAATGATTTTGGATGTTAATTTTTTGAATTGAGTGTTAATTGGATAAATTTGAATATAAATTGGGTGAATTGAATGTTAATTTGATGTTAATTTAATTAATTGAATATTAATTGGATGAATTTGAATGTTAAGTTGATAAATTTAGTGTTAACTAATTTAATTTGAAAGGTAATTTGATGAATTAAATATTTATTAGATAAAATTGAATGTTAATTTGATGAATTGAATGTTAATTTTGTGTTAATTTGATGAATTGGATATTAATTGAATGAATTTGCATGTTAATTTGATGACTTAATGTTAAATAGCTAAATTTAAATGTTTATTTAATGAATTGAATGCTTATTAGATGAAATTGAATGTTAATTTGGTGTTGATTTTATGAATTAAATATTTATTGGATTAAATTGCATGTTACTTGGGTACTAATTTGATAAATTGAATCTTTATTAGATAAAGTTGGATGTTAATTTAATGAATTAATTGTTAATTGGATGAATTTGAATATTAATTTTGTGTTAATTTGATGAATTTAATGTTTAGTAGTTGAATTTTAATGTTAATTTGATGAATTGAATGCTTAGTAGATGAAATTAAATGTTAATTTGGTGTTGATTTGGTGAATGAAATTTTTATTCGATGAAATTTCATGTTACTTTGGTGTTGATCTGATATATTGAATTTTTATTGGATGATTTTGGATGTTAATTTGATGCATTGAGTGTTAATTGGATGAATTGAATGTTAATTTGGTATTAATTTAATGAATTGAATTTTAATTGGATGAAACTGAATGTTAAGTTGATGAATTTAATGTTAACTAATATAATCTAAATGTTAATTTGATGAACTAATTGAATGTTAATTTAATGACTTAAATGTTAATTTGGTTTTGATTTGATGAATTCCATATTAATTAGATAAAATTGCATGTTACTTTGGTTTGATTTAATAAATTGATTATGAATGTTAATTTGATGAATTAAATATTTATTAGATGAAATTGAATGTTAATTCGAAATTGAATGACTTTGGTATTGATTTCATAAATTGAATCTTTATTGGATGATTTTGGGTGTTAATTTAATGGATTTAGGTTAATTGAATGAATTTAAATATAAATTATGTAAATTGAAGATTAATTTGATGTTAATTTGATGAATTAAATATTAACTAGATGAAATTAAATGTTAATCTGATAAATTTAATGTTTTTTTTTTTTTTGAGAAACAACGATAATCATATATATTTACTAAACAACACAAGATACATCCTTGTGGAGCTGAGATAACAGAAAAGTAGGAATCTCATCTCTCCACAACATAGAAGTATTACAGTTAACAGCAAATTTGGCTAAACTATGAGCAACTACGTTTCCCTCTCTACTTATCCAAACCACTAAGAAACCTTGGAAATTAAACCTTAACTTATTGATCTGATCTATAAAATGACCCACTTCAAATAATGACTCATGCTTTTGTGATAAAGCTTCAATGAAAGACTTAGAATCACCCTCCAGTATGATATTGGTAAAGCCAAGATCACCCGCCAACTGCACAGCAATAGAAGCAGTCATTGCTTCAATAGAAACTGCACTTAAGACTCCTTCTACTTTCTGACTTAAACCAGCCACAAAATGCCCACAGTAATCCTTGATAACAACACCAACACCAGAACATTGCAACGAGTAAAAATGGCCCCATCAAAATTAACTTTGCAAACACCCATTTGAGGTGGTGTCCATATGGTCCTAATATCAGAAACAACTCCAGCAGTAGAATCTCCACTCAAACAATTAACAGCTTGATAATGATAAATATATTCCCTTGAGAAATGGACTATTTCCTGCGGTGATCTAGAGCAACTTTCTACACGGACCTTATTTCGATTAAACCACAAAGCCCGTGAAATGACAGCAACCATTACTACCTCCTCAGATGTTAACTTTTCAGACACATATACAAGCCATTCTTGGATATTCAACATACCTTCTATTGGAACTTGGATTGCAGCAGCTTCCCAAACAACTTTCGCAAAGGGGAAAAATACAGACAAATGGAAAAAAGACTCACCAGGATCACCACATAAAAAACACTCATTTTTAACCATCAATCTCCTTCTCTGTAAATTACACATAATAGGTAAAATATCAATAAAAAAAATGTCAAAGGAAATTCTTGACCTTGCTTGGCACCTGAAGCGACCAGATGAACAATCCAGGCCACCGATCCAATGCATTACTTGTAGATGCAATATCCACAAAAGATCTAAACAGATCTTTTTTCAATAGCAAAATGATAAGCACTTTGTATTGAAAAATTCCCAGACTTAGTAATATGTCATTTTAATTTATCCTCTGGCAGAGATGGACAAATTGGAACGGACAGAATCTGTTGAACCTCAAAATCCAAGAACCATTGTTTCAGCAATTGCACATTCCATCTTCGGGAAACGTCATCAATAAAATGACTAACCTTAATATCATCCCCAAGATTTGGTTGTTTAGCAATAATTCTGAAAGTGTGTGGATGAGGAATCTAGCCTTCGAGCTTCACGCTGATGCTTCTACCATTTCCCACCCTCCATCTTGAACCCGCTTTAACCAAATGCCAAGAGGATAGTATGCTACGCTAGGAATAAGATGGGTTGGATCCCAAGGTGGCTTCACTTAAAGAAGAAGAAGGAAAATACTTGGTTTTCATAACTTTAAAAAGTAATGATTTAGGATTCTGAAGTAGCCTCCAATATTGTTTAGCTAATAAGGACATATTAAATGCTTCAACATCTTGAAAACCCATACCTCCCTCTCGATTTTGATAAATTTAATGTTAAATAGTTGAATTTGGATGTTAATTTGATAAAACGAATGCTTATTAGATGTAATTGAAATATTAATTTGGTATTGATCTAATGTGTATATTCGATGAAATTCTATGCTACTTTGGTATTAATTTGATAAATTGAATTTTTATTGGATGATTTTGAATGTTAATTTGATGAATTGAGTATTAATTAACTAAATTTGAATATAATTTAAATGAAATGAATGTTAATTTGGTGTTAATTTAATTAATTGAATGAGATTTAATGTTAGATTGTAGAATTTAATGTTAGTTGGTTTTAATTTGAATGTTAATTTAGTGAATTAGATCAAAAAAGATTGATGAGAATTCTAGAGAGAGAAGCTCTGCCTTCCCTCTAGGATTTTTTGCAATTCATGAGTGCATCACCAAGTTCATCCAATATCCCCCCAAAACCACCAGATGTACAAACTAATCCTATCCCCATATATGCCTCTCTCTTCTAGCAATCATCTTTACCTGTTTTGGAGGAGAAATCAATACTTAATCTTGACAAACCAGTCATTTTTTATGAGGGCGAACCAACGTTTTACTTCACCAATGAGGAGGTTAGAGATTCCAGCAAATCATTACGGTGCACGTTGATTGGGAAGTGTTCATATGGAAGACCTTCATTAGGAGTGATCAGAGAAGTTATCATATCAAAATGGAGGCTCAAAGGAAATTGTGATGTTGGATCGCTTGACCCAAGGCATGTTCTTATAAGGTTTCAAAAGCAGGAAGATTATGTCAAAGTTTGGTTGAAAGATTCAACGCTTATAAAGGATTACTTGTTTAGATTCTTCAAGTGGTTCACAGCTTTTGTGCCTGGGATTGAGCCATCTGTTGTTCCCTTGTGGATTTCCCTTGCTGGATTGCCTTTGAATTTTTTCAAGAAGCCTTTCTTGGAGCTATTAGTGAAGCCAATTGATTTTGGAAAGAGGTGATCATTCTAGGAAAGATAATATGCAAAGATCTCCTGCACAATTGCCTGCAAGCAATTTAGTTGGTTCTCTTATTCAACTCCCACAAGCAGATACTGTCCAGTGCACACGTCCAACTGCAGATTTAGTTCTAGAGGATGGAAAGCATGCAGATTCGTCTGTATGTATTCCCAATGTTACAGCTGTAGTTCAGCATCAATAGAGTGCAGATATGATTGTGGTCCTAGTTATTCCACTTGTTGCCCATTCTAAGCGACCAATGAATGATTTGGGTGCTGATATTGGAGTTGATGGGGTCTCGGGAACAGCCAATGGTAACCAACCTGTGCAAGAAAGCAATGTTAATAGGAGTTATGACAGGAGAGAGGATCTCGTTAGTTTTGGTCATGATCAATTACTTAAGAGTGTGAAACTGCTACTACTTCTAAAGATGTCCCGGACGATGGAATCGATAAGTCCTACTTGATTCAGGTATTGTCGGATTACAGTCCTTGTTCTTTGCAAGATTTTGAACCTTTGTCGGTGGATGTTGTGTCAGAGTACATTACTCAAGAAATGGTGGCAGAAGTTCATAAGAATATTCATATTCAAGGGGATATTATTCCAAGGATGTCAAGAGAAGAGATTCACAAAGCCTTAAAGCTAAAGGGGATTTGTTCCAAGGATGACTATTTTAAGGAATCTTCTCTTTACAAGCACACAAGGGGTTTTTACTCTGATGGTGAGGAGGGGACTTTGGCTCAAGAATATGATTTTAATTCTTTTACGGCATCATCCAAAAAGTTACTGTCAATACTCAGTAAGATTGAGCTAAAGAAGAAGAGAAAAAAAGAGGAGCTAGATGTTTTAGCATAGGTGCTGAAAAAAATCCCAGCCGTGAAAAATTCAGCAATAATGACTAGGTCCAAATCCAAGCTAGCCTTCAAAATTCCAAAGTAAAAAAGTCCATATGGATTTAAGCCTTAAATGGGGGATTTTCAGCTACTGCTTTTTGAACCAAACGTGGGTTTCATGGAGGATTCAAGCATGCAATTTAGTCATTAAAAGGGACTTATGATGGGGACAAGAATGCATGGAGACTTTCTCAAAAGCAGTAGCCATTTTTCCTTATTTTTAAAATGGAATTATGGATTTATGGGTATTGTAATATTTTAAGGGGGTAAGGTTTAAATGTCCCCCTCTAGTTTCTTGTAATTTTGATTTGGGATTAATAATATTTATCTTTGTATTGTCGAGGTTTAATTAAAAAAAATAGTGAATTAAATGTTTATTAGATGAATTTGAATATTAACTTGGTATAAATTTAATGAATTGAATATTAATTGGTTGAAATTGTATGTTTGATTTTAATTTGATAAATTGATTTTGGATGTTAATGATTTGTTTGGGACTATTTAAACACAAATTAAATACTTTAGGGATCAAATAGACGAAATTGATACTTTAAAGATCAAACTGACAAAACGTGTATAACTTTAGAGCAAAAAGTGTTATTAACACATTTGCTAAATTATGATCGGTCATGACTGTTTATGACTAGTTCCTAATTTTAAAAATATGGTCCTTCAACCTTTCTTCTAAAAATTGGTAACCTCACTCCTATAAAGTGGTAAATCATCTCAAAAATTGATAACCGCACCCTAGCAGTGATACATTTACCCAAAACTCTAACTCCACCTTTTTGGATTAAGTTACAACCTTTTTGGGGTGGAGTTATTACTTTTTGAGTGGCATTATAACTTTATTAGGAGGGATTACAATTTTTTGGGGGTGGGGTTACAACTTTTCTAGATTGGGTTACAACCTTTTGGGTCGTCCCTATGTTCCCCCGTGTGGCGACATGGGGGTGAAAAANATAGAGTGCAGATATGATTGTGGTCCTAGTTATTCCACCTGTTGCCCATTCTAAGCGACCAATGAATGATTTGGGTGCTGATATTGGAGTTGATGGGGTCTCGGGAGCAGCCAATGGTAACCAACCTGTGCAAGAAAGCAATGTTAATAGGAGTTATGACAGGAGAGAGGATCTCGTTAGTTTTGGTCATGATCAATTACTTAAGAGTGTGAAACTGCTACTACTTCTAAAGATGTCCCGGACGATGGAATCGATAAGTCCTACTTGATTCAGGTATTGTCGGATTACAGTCCTTGTTCTTTGCAAGATTTTGAACCTTTGTCGGTGGATGTTGTGTCAGAGTACATTACTCAAGAAATGGTGGCAGAAGTTCATAAGAANGGTGCACGTTGATTGGGAAGTGTTCATATGGAAGACCTTCATTAGGAGTGATCAGAGAAGTTATCATATCAAAATGGAGGCTCAAAGGAAATTGTGATGTTGGATCGCTTGACCCAAGGCATGTNCTTTTTAATGGACAAGTATCATATAAGGAAGACCTCCTACTTTTTGGTATGGTACTTTAAAGCAAGGTAGCAGTACTGAAGTGTAGTCCATCATATGATGAGACCATGCAATTGTGCTCAAAATAAAACTATGTAGCTGCTATTAGAGCAACACTTTTACCATGCATAGTGGACTCATTTTTTGAAAAAGGAAAACCAGAGCATAGGTGAGCATTACTTGTCTCTTATATTTTAGGAGTGCAAATCGGGTGGCTTGGAAGAGTTGAGGGGTGACTCTAGGCTCAACCTAAAATATGAAACTTTAACCCGAGTCCAACCCAACTAGAGCTCAACTCGAGCCCAGCCTGTGATCAAGTTTTTGAACTCAAGTTGAGCTTAGGTTACATTATTTTGTTTGAAATTGAGTTTTGCATGAATCAAAATCAAATAACCCAAAAATGGGGTTTAGCTTTGTATTCAACCTCCAATTGAACCTAAATTTTATAAAATTTTCATTAATCAAAACTAATTAGAAATAAAAAGGACAAATTTCACATCGGCAACTTGGATTCACACATCAATAACAATGATTGAGAGGTACAGCGTAGATGTGGGAACATATTTTATAGATTTGTATTTGTGATTATTTATTTTCTTTAAAAGTTCAAGTTGAATTCAGTTTCTTAAATGAGGTTGATTCGAGTTGAACCCATCAGCTCGAAGCTCCAACCCAAGTATTGTCCGAATTCAATTGGATTTGAGATTTGTTTGCCCAACCTAACCCAAGTACTACAAACATCAATTCAAATGCGANCCCAGACTTAGTAATATGTCATTTTAATTTATCCTCTGGTAGAGATGGATAAATTGGAATGGACAGAATCTGTTGAACCTCAAAATCCAAGAACCATTGTTTCAGCAATTGCACATTCCATCTTCGGGAAACGTCATCAATAAAATGACTAACCTTAATATCATCCCCAAGATTTGGTTGTTTAGCAATAATTCTGAAAGTGTGTGGATGAGGAATCTAGCCTTCGAGCTTCACGCTGATGCTTCTACCATTTCCCACCCTCCATCTTGAACCCGCTTTAACCAAATGCCGAGAGGATAGTATGCTACGCCAGGAATAAGATGGGTTGGATCCCAAGGTGGCTTCACTTAAAGAAGAAGAAGGAAAATACTTGGTTTTCATAACTTTAAAAAGTAATGATTTAGGATTCTGAAGTAGCCTCCAATATTGTTTAGCTAATAAGGACATATTAAATGCTTCAACATCTTGAAAACCCATACCTCCCTCTCGATTTTGATAAATTTAATGTTAAATAGTTGAATTTGGATGTTAATTTGATAAAACGAATGCTTATTAGATGTAATTGAAATATTAATTTGGTATTGATCTAATGTGTATATTCGATGAAATTCTATGCTACTTTGGTATTAATTTGATAAATTGAATTTTTATTGGATGATTTTGAATGTTAATTTGATGAATTGAGTATTAATTAACTAAATTTGAATATAATTTAAATGAAATGAATGTTAATTTGGTGTTAATTTAATTAATTGAATGAGATTTAATGTTAGATTGTAGAATTTAATGTTAGTTGGTTTNCAGTTTCTAGTAGTTTGATTTATTAAATAGCTAAAACATTATGAAACTTGTCAAGCCATAATCAAACCACAAAAAAATTTCATAAGTTCAAACTTAGCTTGCTTTTTATTGAATCATCAGGTGACAAGGCTAAGGATAAGCAACAAACCAAGGGCGATCAAGCTCAATCATGATATCTGTTAGATCATAAGAGATATGTAGCTAGCAAAATTTTATATTCAAATCATGTATATAGATTAGCATTATCATTATCTCTGCTGTAAAGAAGTTGCCTATAAATACGAAAGCAAAACCTCAACCAAGGTCAAGGTGAGGAAATCCAACTCTAATAGCATTCTGTCTTACTCTTTTATGTTATTAGAGAAGTCAATGACACGCGTCTATATGGCTAGTAGTTCATCATATTCGATTTCTTCAACCACTACTTCAATCCCTCCCACACTTAACCTTAATATCTGAATCATCCTTTTCCCATAAATTTGAACCATGACAACTACTTATTATGGAAAACAAAAGTAGTTCCATATTTTAGAGGTCAAAATCTCTTCAATTATCTTGATGGAACCACACCCATTCCTTCTCCATCTATTTCGAATTCTTCATCTCAAGATGGTGAGTCCACCACAATCAGCAATCCATATTATCTATTCTGGTTGCAACAAGATCAAATTATCCTCAGTTCGATTATTTCTTCACTTTTCAAAGGAATCATTGCTCATGTAGTGGGTTGCTTCACTTCACATGATGTATGGATCACACTGAAGAAAATGTTTGATTTGCACATAAAGGCATAAATCATGCAGATTCATTACCAGCGTGCTACAATTAAAAAGGGTTTTTTCTTCAATCATGGACTATTTTCAAAATGTCAAAGTGTTTGTGGATACTCTTACCTCCATTGGCCAACCACTCAATAATTTTGATAGTATTTCTTAAATCTTGGTAGGTGGCTTAGATTATGACTCCTTAGTCACATCTGTGACTACTCAAATTGACCCTATGACAGTTGATGATCTGTATGGTCATTTTTTATCCTATGAACTTTAGTTGGAATACCACACAGTTTACTGCTGATTTTGCACTAGGAACTACAAATGTTGCCCCTAGAAATAATACCAACTGTGGTCGTTGCAAATCACCCTCCTTTCCAACTAATCCCAATCGATCTTCCACATATTCTTCAGATCAAAATCATTCTTCTAATTATTCTAGGCAGCAACATGGCATAGGGCGTTAACAAGGCGGTTCCTCACAATTCTCCAACAAAACATTTTGTCAAGTTTGTGATAAAATTGGTCACACTACTCTCCGATGTTTTCAACACTTTAACCACTCTTATCAAGGTGATCAAGCTGGTAATCTGAGTGCTTTCATTTCTACTGCATAGAATGTTTCTGACCTTAACTGCGCCCAGATTCAGGTGCAACCAACCAATTGACAATTGACAGTTGATGATCTGTATGGTCATCTTTTATCCTATGAACTTTTGTTAGAGCACACATAGTTACTGCTGATTTTGCACTAGGAACCGCAAATGTTGCCCCTTGAAATAATACCAATTGGGGTTCGTTTCAAATCACCCTCCTTTTCAACTAATCCCAATCGATCTTCCACATATTCTTCAGATCAAAATCATTCTTCTAATTATTCTAGGCAGCAGAGTAGCATGGGGTGTTGATGAGGCGGTTCCTCACAATTCTCCAACAAACCTTTTTGTCAAGTTTGTGATAAAACTGGCCACACTACTCTCCGATGTTTTCAACACTTTAACCACTCTTATCATGATGATCAAGCAGGCAATCTGAGTGCTTTCATTTCTACTGCACCGAATGTTTCTGACCTTAACTGTACCCAAATTCAGGTGCAACCAACCATTTGACAATTGATCTCAATAATTTAAATGTTCGGGCTAATGAGTATACAGGATGTGATCACATTCGAGGCAATGGTACCAACATTCCTATCAAACATATTGGGTCTAAATTGCTTACTTCTCACTTCATTGTTCACTTAAATAATGTTTTGCATAACCCTAACATAAAAAAAAAAAATCTCCTTTCTATCAGTCAATTTGCTTCTGAGAATACCATATTTTTTGAATTTCACCCTTCCTATTTTCTTCTTAAGGATTGACTCATGGGGAAAATTCTTCTGCAATGCCCAAATGATGATGGTCTTTACAAACTTCTAATGTCCTCCCTCAATAATGTTGCTCAACTTGCCTTGCTCAATGAACAGGCATATTGGATCAGTGGCATTGTCGGCTTGGACACCCAGCACTTCACACTGTTGGTCGAGTTGTTTCATCCAATAATCTTCCAGTGACTTCTCAAAAAGTTTCTACTATGTGTAATTCTTGTCAATGTGCTCACAGTCTTCCATTTTTTCTTTCACTATCAAAATCTAAATTTCATCTTGAACTTGTATTCTCAGATGTATGGGGCCCTCCATCTCTACCTTCAAATAATGGAATATTAAGCTTTATTTGTTGATGATTATAGTCGATTTACTTGGTTTTTTCCCATCCAACGCAAGTCTGATGTGAAATTATATTTCACAAATTCCAACTTCTTGTTGAAACATTATTTGATCATAAAATTACATCCCTTCAAACGGATTGGGGAGGTGAATATCGTTGAATAAACAATTATTGTCACTCTCTTGGGATCACCCATCGTCTCACTTGTCCACATATCCACCAGTAAAATGGTTCTATTGAACACAAGCATCATCACATTGTTGAGACGGGCTTCTCATTAATGGCTATGGCTAATGTTCCCTCTAATATTTGGGAAAATGCTTTTCTAACTGCCTATTACTTGATAAATCGCTTGCCGTCACCCACCTTACAAAATCAGCCTCCCTTTGAATGGTTATTTAAAATTTCATCTGATTATTATTTTCTTAAAAGTTTAGAGGAGAATCCGTTAGAGGAGAATCTGGAGACAATCAAGAGGATTCTTTACTTGTATAGCTACTTTTTGAATTTCAAATAGTTGTTCTGTTTTTATGATAAGATTGCTCTGTAAATATTTCTATAAATATCAAGATATCCTCACAGCAGGTCAAGCTTGAGGTTTACCTTTTCATGGTATCAGGGCCATTTTCGGTTAAAACCTTAATATATATATATACATACATATATTTTTCCATGGCCGATTCAAGCTCCAATCAGCTTCCGCTCAATACAATGGTTCACATGGTAACCATCAAACTCATTTCTACCAATTACCTCCTTTGGCGTAGCCAATTCGTTCCCTTGCTTGAAAGTCAAGATCTCATGGGCTTCTTGGACGGATCTTTCCCTGCACCCACATCCCTGCTCCAAGAGGGTTCCAATTAATTTCCTAATCCAGCTTACAAGATATGGTATACGCAAGACAGGATGTTGCTCAGCCTCATTTACGCTTCTCTTACAGAGGAATGTATGGCCGAGGTTGTTANTAATTTCCTAATCTAGCTTACAAGATATGGTATACGCAAGACAGGATGTTGCTCAGCCTCATTTACGCTTCTCTTACAGAGGAATGTGTGGCCGAGGTTGTTAATTCCTCAACTGCTCGTGATGCTTGGTTGACTCTCGAAGTATCATTTTCTCACAGCTCCAAGACAAGAGAAATTCAATTGAAAGACGAACTTCAATTAATGCAGTGTGGCTCTCATACTGTGGCTGAATATGCTCGTTCTTTTCAATCTCTTTGTGATCAACTTAGTGCTATTGGCAAACCGGTTGATGACACTGATAAGGTACATTGGTTTCTTCTTGGACTTGGATTAGATTTCAAAATTTTTTCGACATCTATGTTGTCTCAGATGCCACTGCCTTCCTTCACCAATTTGGTTCCCAAAGCTCTGAGTCATGAGCTTTTCTCTCGATCCATTCCTGGTGATTCCTCTCAACAGTTGGTTTTCATTGCACAACGTCATCCTTTTGCCAATTCCACTGGTCGCACCAAGCAAGACAATTCTCCACCAGGTTTCACTAAAGGGTCTATTGTTGCTTGCTAGTGGTGTGGTAAAGAAAATCACACTGCCAAAAAGTGTTATAAACTTGGCAAATTATTAAAAAAGGCCAAGGCTGGTGGCTTAATTGAAGCTTTCTCTGCCACCTCTCTTGATAATCCCACTGATTCCGAATGGTACACAGATACAGGAGTCACTTCGCATATGACAAATGATGTTGCGTCTCTTAATAATTCTATTTCTTACAATGGTAATCAACGGGTGTTTGTTGGTAACAGTAACTCATTGCCTATCTCTAGAATTGGCTCCATCTCATCCATTGTTGCTTCTAAATCTTTATCATTATCTGATGTTCTCCTTATTCCTGGCATTACTAAAAATCTGTTGTCTATCAGTAAGCTTACTTATGAGAACAACTGCTCATTAACCTTTTCTTCTACTAGCTTTACTATACAAGATCTAGCAACAAGAACGATGGTGGGAGTCGGCCGATGTGAGAAAGGACTCTACATTCTTGACCGTGCCCATGCAAATTTTTTCTCCACTTTTTCTTTATGTACTTCTCGTGCTACATCTGATATTTGGCATGCCCGATTGGGACATCCTTCTAATCGCATTGTTTCTTTTTTAAATAAGCATGGAGATATTACCATTTCTAATAAAAACAAGTTTGATTCTGCACCGTGTTTTGGTTGCCAATTGGGAAAAAATCATCGTTTACCTTTCTCCAATTTAGATCAATGTTGCTCCTCATTATTTGACAGAATCCATTGCGATTTATGGGGTCCTTCACCAATCACTTCTCCATCCGGATATAGATATTATTGTGTATTCATCGATGACTTTTCTCGCTTTAGTTGGATTTTTCCTTTAAAGCTTAAGTCAGATTTCTTCGATATTTTTGTCCGTTTTTATAAGTATGTCAACACACAATTTGATAGAAACATTAAATCCTTTCAATGTGATGGTGGCACCGAATTTACCAATAATTGTTTCACCTCTTTTCTTCATGAGTGTGGTATAGTTCAACATATTGCTTGTCCTTACACTCCTAGTCAAAATGGTATTGCTGAGAGAAAACATCGTCATATCACTGAAACTGGTCTCACCCTCATGTATCATTCTAGTATTCCATTACATCTTTGGGTTGAGTCCTTCTCAACGGCTTGTTATCTCATCAATCGCCTTCCATCACCGGTTCTTGAAGGGAAAACTCCTTATGAGATCTTATATGGTAAAGCTCCTTCTTACTCGTCACTTCGCACTTTTGGTTGTCTTTTCTTTCCTTTTTTGCGTGACTATATACCTCATAAATTGTCTCCTCATTCTATTCCTTGTATTTTCTTAGGCAATAGTCCTCTTCATAAAGGTTTTCGGTGTTTGGATAAAAACACTAACAGAGTATATGCCTCTCATCATGTGCATTTTTTTGAGGATTATTTTCCTTACGGTACTTCAAGTTTACCAACTTTGGCTTCTAAAGATTACGTTACTTTTATTGATCCTCTTGAAAATTCTTTGCCGTATGAAAATGACTCTTCTTCAGGTGTGACTTCCACCCATCACAAGGCTCCTATCTTTTTGTGCTCCTTGTGCAGACAACAGCAGCACTTTGCTGCCACTTGTGTTGTCTTCAACTGCAACAACGTCTTCCACACCTGCTGCCTCTTCTCAACTATCCTCCCCTGCGATGGCATCGGAAGTCATACCTCCACCACCTTCTTCAACCTCTCAATCACCTTCCTCTACACACCCAATGATTACTCGTGCAAAGGACGGTATTATTAAGCCTCGCACTATTCATTCATTAATTGCTTTGTCAGCCCCTCAATGGTTTCAGGTACATCTTGCCATTAAAGAGCCGCGCGGATTTAAATCAGCTGTCAAACATCCCGAATGGCTCTCTGCCATGGATGATGAAATTACTGCACTTAAGCAAAATAGCACTTGGCGCCTGGTACCTCATCCTTCTGCTCATAATATTGTCGGCTGTCGGTGGATATTCAAAACAAAACTTCAATCCAATGGAACTATCGAGCGTCACAAAGCTCGCTTAGTTGCACAAGGTTTTTCTCAGAAGCATGGCATTGATTTTGAAGACACTTTTAGTCCAATTGTTCGCACTGCTACTATTCAGATTATCTTGTCTCTTGCTACCATCCATGGTTGGTGTCTTCATCAACTTGACGTAAAAAATGCATTTCTACATGGCTTTCTTTCCGAGGAATTCTATATGGAACAACCCCCAAGTTATATTGATCCTCAATTCCCAAATCACATTTGTCATTTACAGTGTGCCCTTTATGGCCTTAAACAAGCTCCAAGGGCTTGGTTTCAGCGTTTTAGTAATTTTTTGCTTAGTCTTGGATTTCTTACGAGTCGTGCAGATTCGTCTCTCTTTATCTATCACGGTCAACATGGTGTTATTTATCTCCATTTGTATGTTGATGATATGGTTATTACTGGCAACAATCCAACCATGCTTCGTACTCTTATTGATCGTCTTGCCACTGAATTTTCTATGAAAGATTTGGGTGATCTCCACTATTTTCTTGGTGTTGAGGTTATTCGCAATGATAAAGGTTTTTTTATGAGTCAAGCAAAATATGCTCTAGATTTTTTGACTTGCGCTGAAATGGTGGATTGCAAACCAATTTCCACACCCTTTATGGTCGGTTCTCATCTTTCCAGCACTGGGATAGCATATTCAGATGCAACACAATTTTGCTCATTGGCTGGAGCCTTGCAATATTTGACTCTCGCACTTCCTAATTTGTCTTATAGTGTTAATTCCATCTGTCAATATATGCATGCTCCTACTATTGATCACTTTCGTGCCTTGAAGCGTATTTTACGATATGTTAAAGACACCTATCACTATGGTCTTCAGCTGTCACGGGATCCTTGCTCAACTCTTATTGGTTACTCTGATGCCGATTGGGCGGGTTGCCCTGATACTCGACAGTCTACTACAGATTTTGCTGTTTATTTTGGTTGAAATTTAATTTCATGGTGTTCTAAGAAGCAAACTACCGTCGCACGTTCCAACACTGAGGCAGAATACAGGGCTCTTGCATTTGTAGCTGTCGAACTCTCCTGGACACTTCAGCTATTCCGTGAACTACATATCCAACTCTCCTCTCCTCCAAAACTGCTATGTGATAATAACAGTGCTATATTTATAGCAACAAATCCTGTCACCAAATCTCGCTCTAAGCACATCGACATTGACTACCATTTTGTTAGAGAGCTTGTTGCTCAATGGGTTCTCACTTTGGCGTTCGTTCCCTCTCAACTATAATTCGCAGATGTCTTCACTAAAGGGGTTGCTAAATTACAGTATCTCCTGGATTGTGCCAAGTTGTGTGTGTTTCCACATTCCACCACACCAACTTTGAGGGGGGGTATTAGAGGAGAATCCGTTAGAGGAGAATCTGGAGACAATCAAGAGGATTCTTTACTTGTATAGCTGCTTTTTGAATTTCAAATAGTTGTTCTGTTTTTATGATAAGATTGCCCTATAAATATTTCTATAAATATCAAGATATCCTCACAGCAGGTCAAGCTTGAGGTTTACCTTTTCAGTTGTCCCCACAATTTATGTGTCTATTACTACCTCTGCTCTGGTCTATCACACTTCAGTTTCAACCACTGCTCCTATGTTCAACCATAGTGCACCCTGTCTAAAGGACTCCTCATGTCCCTCTTCTGATCATCCACTAGCTGACTCCTCATGCTCAACAACTACCACAACATTCCCTCACCATTCCATTCATCTCATGGTCACCTGATTGCACAACAATATTGTTAAAGAAAAACAATACACTAATGGGGATGCTCTTTATCCTCTTCCTCAAGCAATGTTGGCTACTTCTTCACTCGATGAAATTGAACCAACTTGTTACTCTTCAGCCGCAACACACCCGTCGTGGTGATCGATCATGAATTTAGAATTTGATGGATTCCTAACAATACTTGAAGTCTTGTTCCCGCAACATCGTCTATGAAGATAATCGACTGCAAATGGGTTTTCGAATTAAAGCGACATTCTGACGGTTCTATTGAGAGGTATGAAGCGCGATTAGTCGCTATAGGATTTTCTCAACAACAGGGTGTTGATTACGATGAGACATACAGTTTGGTCATCAATCCTCAAACCATTTGCTTACTTCTTTCTCTTGCTGTTTCTCGAGGTTGGCAAATTCACCAACTCAATATTCAAAATGCTTTTTTACATGCTACCTCATGGAAACTGTCTTTATGCAACAACATACAGGTTTGTAAATTGAACAAAGCCTTATACGACTTAGAACAAGCACCACGAGCATGGTTTTCTCGGCTCACCAATAGGATTATTGAGCTTGATTTGGTCTTCCAAAGCGGATTCTTTGTTATTCATTTATGGCAGCCCAAGTGTGAACATTTTTGTCCTTGTTTATGTTGACGATATTCTTGTTATTGTCTCTCAAGATACAGCGATTCCTCTCTTATTAATAGTCTACATTGCGAATTTGGTGTGAAATACTTAGACTCTTTATATTATTTCCTAAGTGTCAAAGCTCGACATTTATCTAGTGGCCTGCATCTATGTCAGCAATGCTATATTCTCAATCTTCTCAAGTGAACCAATATGCATCTTTCCAAACCCATGACTTCTCCCATGGCTACTTCTCCTCTTTTCAAGCTTGTCGATGCATCTTTTTCTGATCTGCACTTGTAACGTAGTACTAATGGGCCCTTGCAATACCTTTCCTTGACCCGTCCCGATATTTCCTTTGCAGTAAACCGTGTTTGCCAATTTATGCTTTGTCCAATAGTGTCGCATTGGTTAGCTATGAAACACATATTATGCTATCTCAAGCATACAATCAGTCATGGCCTTCTTTTTCGTCCTTTTTCTTCTACTATCTTAAGTGCATATTCGAATGCTGATTGGGCTGGTTGCCCCAATGATCGTTGCTCCAAGAGTAGGTATTACTTGTATTTTGGGTCAAATTTAATTTCGAGGAGTTC